AGGCCCCGGGGAAGACCCAGGACACGCTGGAGGGACTATGTCTCTCGGCTGGCCTGGGAACGCCTCGGGATTCCCCCAGAGGAGCTGGAGGAAGTGGCCAGGGAGAGGGAAGTCTGGGTTTCCCTACTGAGACTGCTGCCCCCGCGACCCGACCTCGGATAAGCAGAAATAAATGGATGGATGGATGGATGGATCTTCCAAATATCGCCTACCGTAGGCTTTGCCACTCCAAAATGGTCTGCAACAACTCTGTGATTTTCCTTTTCTTATCTCTGTAATGATATCGAGCTTCTTTTGGAGGGACATAACACTATGCTTCCTTTTTGAAGCCATGGATTTTGCACAGTTTTACGCGCCGCTGTAAGTTCAGCTCCGCCCACAGCGTCGTCCTCTAGCTCGCCCTCCATTTGACGTTCGCTCCGCCTCCTCGTGCAGAATCCGCCCACAACGCTCTGTATGCGGCATTTGTCACTTCCGTCTTCCTAAGTGAAAAGCCGGCCGCAAGACGTCTCGGGAGGTCAGCTCATTAATTGATTATTATTGTTGGTTTGCTTTTGTTTGATAGAGATTACTGTGTATGATTTGTTTGGTTTATTGGATTTCTGATTTTCGCTTTGCCCTTGTATGTACTTTAGCTTGGGTTTACTTGCTATTTGGTTTCGATCTCTCGCCCTATTTTTCGTTAACGTCTTCGCGCCCCTCGGACTTTGACGCTTTCATCTCTGTTTATGCTCTGTGTGTGTGTCAGGTGCTTAGGGAGTGACTGCCATTTTTGTTTTGCGAGCTTATGTTGTATGCTGTTAGAGCTCGTAACAACAACAGCTGCTGGTTGTGTAAAATTAATTTGCGCATGCGCGTACCTACAGCTGCCTGGTAGAGGGAGGTGCCCGTATATTGGAGGTCCGGATAAGGGAGGTTTGACTGTACTACTGTTTCGGTATGTCATGGAAGCAATAAGCACTGAAGTGATGCTGAAGAAAGGAACAGCTCAACAGCCAGAAAAAAGCCCTTTTAAAAGAGGAGATATCCTGGATTAACAAGGTTAAAAAGATGTCATTGTGGCGGTTCTTTTTGCATTTCCACATGTTTATTAAACATACAGATGTGCTGAATTTATACCGATTACTAATATTTTAGGCATACTACTAATCTGCTTACTAAATTGTGGGCATAAGTAAATGTCCGTATAGTAATGAAAAGCTGGTGTCTGTCTAAATGTTCCCCCCATCTTGATTATAGCTCATGCGCCATACATTATGGGGGGGGGGGGCAGCCAGTTGACCTTGGATCCCCAGAGGTTTTTTTCTCCGTACTTGGGAGTTTTTGTTTCCTCTCCTCCGTTGTCTTCTGGCTTTCTTTATTCAATTTCTTTCCTTCCTTTTTTCCGTTCTGTATCTCTCTCAAATTATGTTTTATGTATCACAACAGAACCCTGTAAAGCTCTTTGAGACAACTTTGTTGTGAAAAGCGCTATACAAAAATAAATTAATTGAACTGAATTGATATTGTGCGAGTACATTACGTTGTTATATTGTGGAACCCTATATTATATTGTGGTCCTAATAGTGTATGAAATAATGCCATGTGATGTATGGGGCTCCAAGAGTCAAGCACTCAGTACATTCTGTGCCACTCCCTCCCTACTGCTGTGTGTCAGTCGATCTCAGTCTCAGATTTCAAAGTCAAGCTAAGAACCTTTTTGTTGGCTCAAGCATATAACCTTCCCCATCCAGAATGTTTTGTCTTTTTTGTGTTATCTGTTTATTTTATTCTGTGTAAGCATCTGTGAGATCTTGTAAAAGCTCCATATACAGTAAGTAAAATGTGTTGTTGTTATTGTTGTTCTTATTAATTATTAAATCAAATAATATGTTGCTGCATTTTGTCCACAGAAAGACAAACCTGAGTTACATTTTGTCCACAAAGGTATGAAGATTTCTCTTTTATTCGTGCACAAAAATCTAAAGGAATGTTTCATTTTGTGGACAGTAAAAGTCATTTAGTTCACAAAATGCGTTTTATCAAGTAAATAAATTCATTTTGTGCACAACATGCATTTCATGAATGGGAAACAGTCATTTTGCGGACAAAATGTATTTCGTGAATGAAATGACCAGAATATGGAACGCCGGAAGTAAACTAGTGCGCAGGCATGAAGCCTGCAGCAGCACATTACAAGCAATTTCCTTCGGGATAAATAAAGTTTTTTAATTCTGATTTTGAAGACCCACGTAATGTAATTTTAACTTTAATTTAAAGGTAATAAAAATACAAAATGACTCCTGGGCCAAATACTTTTACTGTTGCATGTACTCAACAGTGTCATTTTTAATATTTTTAAGCCAATGACAAATCTTGCTGCTGATTACCTCAAATTGTAGTTTACAAGCTCATCAAAGTTAAACATTCCTCTCGGTTTCTGTGCACAAAAGAAAGAGAAATCTTTATGATCTCATGGACAAAATGTAACTCGAGTTTGTCTTTCTGTGGACAAAATGCAGCAAGGCATTGCTTGATTTTGCCATTAAATAATGCTTTTTCTGGCAAAGTGTATTTTGAGCACAAAAATGAGCACTTGACACTTGGCACCCCATAGTGACGTGATGCTGTGGGACATGATGCTGTATGAAATATTACAATGCGACGTAATGCTGTGTGACTCTTTCAGTTTGGGCTGAATATGAGCAGGAACGGCCTGCCCTCCCCCACATGCACGTCCTTGAGGTTCATGGGTAAGTCACAAT